GGACAGTGAAGGATAAATACTTAAAAATGCCTACATCTTGAGCTAACATTGAAATTAATAAGTGGGCCAAAAAATTTATACAAAAAATTGAATTTAGAAATTGAGTTGGGTTGGGTTGAGCTGGGCTAGTTAGGCATGGACTTGGCTTGAGAGTTAGAACATTAATCACTAAATTAGTTAATTTGCTAATTTGTTTAGAAAATTTTTTTAAAAATTAAGTAATTCAATATAAAAAATTTAAAAAATTATTTAAATTCGGTTCTCATTCGATTCTGGGTCTAGAACCGAGAACTGAACTTGTCGGTTCTCGATTCATATACTCGTTCGGGTATTTAACTTGTGAAGAACCGCTCGGTCCAGTTCGGTCCGAGAGTTTTGTCCAGCTGTACTTCAAATGCTCCATAGATACTCAAATCATCCAATCTTGAATAGTGTAGTGAATTAGAAGCATTAAAAGGCTTTATATGGACTACAAGTCCTAAACCTAGTAGAGTTCCAAGTTCTAATTTGGAAACTAAATAAATTACCTGCCAAGCTAATACTAATTAGAGACACTATGAAATTTCCATAAGAACCAGACTCCGGTCAACTGATTAACAAAGATATCACCTTTTGCAATATAATCAAAGAAGAAATCACCTTAATATCCTCAATAGAAACGCTATAATCCAAATTCGAAATGTATAACTTCGTTCCAGTCTCAATATTCGACCCTCGACCAGCCGCAGCAGCAAACATGTCATGGCCCCAAGTAGACTCCGGTGCCTAAACCGCACACAACCATAATTCAGCAGAAAAATATATAAATAAATAAAACAATTAGCAACAAAACAAACAAAAATACAAAATCGTATGTAAGAGATGACGGATCTAACCTTGGCGACGGCATAGGGAGCAGCGCGATCCGAAGAGCGGTTGGGGAAACGGCGATTAGGGCCCGGACCGGATCCGGAGCTTGATCCGCGGCCTCTGCCACGGGAGCCGGATTTCTTATTACTCTTGATTAGATCATCCAGAGTCATATCAAGGGGAGCGCCTGACATTTTGCGACGGCGATTGAAATCCGTAGTCGGAAGAAGAATTGAGGGTTTGTAGGAAGAAGATAGAGGGGGCTCAGGGATAGGTACAGGTACCAGAGCAAGAGCCAGAGGAGTCTCTACTGGATATTACTCATAAATATCTTACACGGTTTTTGCTTTAAGGGAAATTGCACCATTGGTGTTTGATTAATTGTTTCGGTAATAACTTGCTCTTTTAACTTTCAAAAATGAAAAATCCGTTCTCTACTTTTCAGTATAATTGTACAATTAGGTTTACATATTGGAAATTGTCCGAATTTTCGTATCATTTAGCACCGATGGCAAGTGAAAACATACACGGGGCTTCAAGTTCTAGTGAAAAACAAGATTTAATTGCATGAGTAATGATCTTGTGACGATTTAATAAAATAAATGTACAATAATAGTAAATAGATGAATAACGGGCTTTTTTATAAAAAGGTTAGAAACCAACTTCCTAATTCAATGCCTGTTTGAGCCTCATATTTCGGTAAAAATATATTTTGAAATAGTAGATTGATGAAGATGTGATTAAAAAATAAGAAATTTATTTTTATTTGCATAATATTATTTTATTAAAAAATGTGTGGTTAAAAAAAAGAGTGAACAATTTATTTTGAAAATAATAATTTTGCAACAAATGGTTGGTAATAATTTGTTTGAAGTGATTCAATTTGACTTCGATAAACAAATGTTATGTATCTTATAAATCTTAGTTTTATTTTTGTTATTCGAGCACTATTTTGTAAGATTGTACTTGGTCTTGTGATTTATTCGGCAAAAGGAAATTTCCTTGTAGATTCCCTTGAAGAATTATTCATCATCGAGTGAAAATCACATATTTGCAAGTGTTGGTTCCAATTTACTCTATTTTGTAAGTGAGAGACGAACTTGCAATTCAGTGAAAACGAACTAAGGATTAACAATGAAATTTTCATTTCAATTTTGAAGAACATGTTCCTCGTTGACCAAATGATTGCTCAATTGGCCACATCCAGTTTTGTTTTCAAGTGCGAATTTCAATAGAAACTCTAATTTAGTCAAGTAATTATATTTTAATTTCTAATAGGTTAAGTAGCATCTATGGGGTATGTGTCTATAATTTATATCAGCGGTTAAGATTGCCTATAACACGACGAGGAGAGAAATCTTGCTCTCGGGCCCTCAGGTTTGACTTTCGACTTGGGAGGCTGGCTAATGAGACAGAAAGGGGCGAGCACTAATCTGGGAAAAGATTGTGACCGTAATTAAATAAGTGGATAACTCCGAGTTATGTCTATGAGACATGTCTATGAGATTTGAGAATGGTCGAAATTAAATGAGTGGATGACTAGAAGAGATCCCCTCCCCTAAGCTTTCGAATTATGATGAGTTCAAGCTCCATTTCTAATGGATCATCTATCTAGGCGGGTTGAGGTAACGACCTCGAGAGTTGAGACGTTCTATATATTGGTTGCCTTTACCCTAGCCATTTGTACGTGATTTGTGTATGAAAAGTGAGAAAAATGTGGCGCCCTCTTAAAGAAAAGTCGTGTGCCTTGTTTGAGTGTAAAACTGGCTGACTTCTTCCTTTGTTTTTTTGTCTCCATTTCATGTTTATTTCATTTTTTTTTCTCGTGCCTTCATGGCTTACAAATCAACACCGTAATCTTGTCCTTTATGGGTGAGATTGAGAAACAACATAGGTAAATATTGATTGTGGGTTGGAACCGTTTAGATTGATTGTTCGGTAGAAAAATTTAACGTAAAATTGAGCTCGAAAAACACTATTTAGAAGATTTTTAGAGCAAGCTTCCGCGACAGGTAAGTTTTATAATTAAATTAAAAGATTAGTTTGTATATTGACTAATCTTACATACTTGAATATTGGATTTTCTTAAATCACATATTTTCTTAGAATTTCGAATTAGCATTTCCTTGAAATTAAATTTCTCCAGCTTTCTCACGTGTAAAAAGAACGGGGAAATAATTTTGCAAATATTTGAGCACGTGACCTTATGCCATAACTATTTCATATTGACAGGAAATATGATTTGTGAGACTTCAGTGAATACATAATGTAATCACTTGAATTTTAGAATTCAAATCCCTACCAAAAGTTTTACTAAAATTTAGCACTGTGAAATGCTATTATGTATAAAGTTATGTCATTATTGTCCTCTAATTAATTATAAAATCCAATACAATGCATGGCATAATTGAAAATGTTTTCACATTCAACATTCCTCTAATTGATGTATAATTCAGTTAACTGCTTGAGCCAATTCAAGCAACAATATCACATGACTTTTCTCCTAATAAGTTCCAGTA